CCGTTGTATTTTAATGGCTTTAACGCCTACTGGTTAATGTGTATGGCTTCTGATCCATCTACAAGGGTGAAGGTCACAGACGCATTTCAAGAATCTTCCAAGATAGGAATGAACCTGGTTAGGACTTGGGCTTTTAGTGATGGTGGCAACAAACCCCTGCAAACCTCTCCCGGTTTTTACAATGAGGACATGTTTAAGGTAACTTTATCTATTATTTTAGTCTCTGTTTTTTATTCAACATGATCTGTAAACATTAAAAGGTAATTTCTTATCGACCATACGACAAATCGACACGGACATATTGAAATAAAAGTTAGTAATAACCAAGATCACAAACACTTAACACCTCTGTTTTATGTTACTTGTGATAACCATCTACACCTTTTCATTCCAGGGATTGGATTTTGTGATATCAGAAGCGAAAAAGTATGGGATTCACTTGATTCTCAGCTTGGTTAATAACTGGGATGATTTTGGAGGTAAAAAACAATATGTTCAGTGGGCAAGGGATCATGGAGGACAATACTTGAATAGTGATGATGAGTTCTTTACCAACGTTGTAGTTAAAGGATATTATAAGAATCATTTGAAGGTATATATATGTTTGGGAAACAATGTTTCCATTATATCACAAAAATTTTCTACAACAGCTGTATTTGCATTTTGTTAGAAAATTTGAACATGTTGCAAATACTGTTTTGCTACAGACCATTCTTACGAGACGCAACTCAATCACCGGGGTTGACTACAAGGATGATTCCACCATCTTTGCATGGGAGCTAATGAACGAACCCCGCTGCCAGTCTGATCTATCAGGGAAATTTCTACAGGTTCTTGTTTTCTCTGTTTTCTCACGGTTAAGTTGTTCATATGAGAAAATGCCCGAATCAATTATCCAGAAAGAAGGAAATCTTTTACTTTCAAATGATAGGAGTACATAGAGGAAACTGGTTTTTTATGAAACTATATGGTGCATAACCTATAACCATCGGTATCTCTTCTTTGTGCAGGAATGGATAGTAGAAATGGCAGCCGAAATAAAGTCCACTGATAAGAACCATCTTCTCGAAATCGGACTTGAAGGGTTTTATGGGGAATCAATGCCTGAAAAGAAGCAAAACAATCCGGGCTATGAAGTAGGGACCGACTTCATTACAAACAACGGCGTCAACAATGTGGATTTTGCTACAATCCATCTGTATCCCGACCAATGGTATGATCGAGTCTATACCGACATATAAACTCCATCACAATGCTTTTGTTCGTATATATACTTTGCATGTCACGCTAGCCAACACCCGAACGTAGTTAGCATCCTAAAAATGTTTCATGAAATGCATGTTTCTTATTTATAACTAAAACAATCTTTTATGTTATTTAATTTTATTGAATAACATATGTGGATATTTCGATATTTGACTTAGGGTTCCGGGAGCTAGCGATGAAGCTCGAGCTAAATTTGTTGAAAAATGGATTAATGCACATATTGAGGATTGTGATTCCATCTTGAGAAAACCTTTACTGATTGCAGAATTTGGCAAGTCCTCTTGGTCTTCAGGTTACACCGTAGAAGCAAGGGATGAGTACTTTGGTGGGATATTCAACACGGCCTATGAAAGTGCAAGAAACCGGGGTTCGTGTTCAGGTACAACTTTTTGGCAAGTCATGGCAGAAGGAATGGATAACTGGGGTGACGGGTACCAAGTTGTCTTGGACCAAAACCCCTCCACTGCTGCAATAATTGCCAAACAGTCTCAAAGAATTTCATCACTCTGCTCTTCAACCAACCTAGAGTTCTCTCCCGTTGCTTTTGAAAAATAATTATGTTGGGCTCCTGAACAAATAATTATCCCTTTCGAGATAAAATGATATTTCTATCGGCCGCGTTACTTACCTTTAGAAAATGTGAAGTTTAAATAGTGAAATGAAAATAAAGATAGAGGTAGCAACCATTTTGCATGAAACAAAATAGTTGCAGCCTATTAATAATGTTGTACCGCGGGTAACTTCAACTCAGTATTGTTGGACGAAGTGGGAAAATTGATGCATTTCATTTTTATCAATAAATATGGTAAAATATGTAAGGTATTTTTATGTGTTTTCTTAGCTTTTGTCTATCTTTTCTTAATGTTATAAATACTTTGTTTATCAAACACACAGTCACGTCAACATATGTGAATCCTTTTATATGTATTCAAACCACTTTTTGATCGCAAATCATCGACGAGAGGAATATTAATATTAGTTGATAAGGGATATAAGTCATGATATATCATTAAATATCAAGATTTTTTACCTAAATTTTGTATTACACTTGTGCCTTTGGGAGTGGTGATACTTAAATGAACAAATACTTTCCCGAGTTTTATACTGAAAAGTCTCATTATTTTGGAATTTTTTTTGATAAATTCATAAATCTTTTTTTTTAACAAAAAAGTCTCGTTATTTTCGGAAAATCACATAATCTATCTTTTCCAATTATAAAAAACTTTTTCTTAATTTGGGCAAAATGTTAAACAATCAGGTTTATTCTATTCAAAAAAAAGATTTAGGACTTTATCAAAAAAAATCTCAAAATAATTAGACTTTTCTGCATGAAACGCATACTTATCCTATCAATATTGCTTGACAAAGGATATAAGTCATGATATACCAATGAATATTATGCCTTTAGATCTTGATTTTGAATTAAAATTATGTTTGTGAGAGTTGTGATATTAAACAAACCATTACTTAATGGAAATGTGTGTGTATGTGTCTGTGTGTGAGAGAGCCAGGTGCGAATGTACAAAAGCTATTGGATCACTTTTTCCAAGTGATGTTAACACAGAAAAAAAAACATCTTGTTAATATGCCACTAAACCTATTTCAATATAATTTCTAGAATACTAATTCATGTTTAAAAAATATTACCTAAGTTTTAACAAACAAAAGAAGATCAATTCAAAACTATTTAAGTTATTTTTGACATCAAACTCCTAATAAAGAATATAAATGATTAAGTTACGTATGCTGGTGAAGAAAATATAGTCTTAAGGAGTAATTAACACATATATTGGTGTCTTGGCGCAAATGTTAATTTTTGGTAATCTAAAATGCAATTTTTTTAAACAAATACATAAATCATTATTAATACACATATATTAGGGTCTTGGCACAAATGTTACTTTTATTGTAATCTGTAGTATGAATATTTATGTCACCAAACTCAGAATTATGATGATGATTTTTCATGAAACCTTTCCAATTATGAGGTTGTTATCTTATATAATAAGTAAAATCATTGATTAATACAACTGGGGCTCGTAGAAGAACTAAACTCATTATTTCTCATTTGTCTACAAGATTATATTATAGGGAACTCAAATTAATTGGAGTTCAAAAATTCCTACTTTATTTTCGGTCGCAAGGTTATATCAACAACTATAAACTTAAGGTTTCGTGGTACCTTTGAAATATCCTTTATCAATATTGGGATTAAATTTTGGTGCATTTTTAACCTTAGGCCCGCAAACGACTGTAAATTTATGTTTTAGTCATACCATTGAAATATACTTTATCAATATTGGGTAGACATTTTGGTGCAATGTTTATCTTAGGCATGCAGTCTTAAACCTAACAATTGTATGTTTATTTTTATATTTCTAATTTTCATAATTTTCTTTATAAATAAGATTAATATCAATTAAATTAATAAATATAAGGTGAGGGTCATTTTTATAAACATCTAGCATTTATCACCAAAGATTTATAATATAGATAATGTGTACAAGTGTAGTCTGAATAAACTTTAATTAATGAGTAATCATACACTACTTAGTATCGATGCACGAACACATAAAAAATGATAAAGGGAGTGTTTCCTCACTAGTCTTCTAAAAGTATTGGTTTAAGATCTATCGAATTTCCTTCTAAGCAGTTACATTGCCTATTATGATAGGTTTTGGAACCCCAAACATCCGTTGTTTTATTATAATAGGGAACACCTCGTACACAAGCAAAGCGAGTTATGTTTAGATTACAATACATCCACTTGCTACATGCATGCTACTCAACCACTTGTTATTACATTAACTACATAAAAACAAAACATGACATCATCAATATAAATTCACATGCAAAAGTGATGTGTGCAACATACATAACATCTACTTTGATACAAATTCCATTTGGAGAATACACGTGATAAAAACTATCAACAGAAAAATGGAACATAAAATTTAATATATATTTGCTATATGACGTTAAAAGAAGTCAAATAAAGAAACCAAATGTCCCATGAATGGTGATGCGTAAACGTAAGAAAGTCACATGCTAGATTTCAACGTATGAAAAAAGGAACCCGAAAAAACAACAAAATGGTTTGGAGGAGTGGGGAAATAAATAGATAAATAAATCAAATTGTACCTAGTTTTTCATGCACAAGCAATGACTTGTGCGTTTATTTTGGGCTTTTTGTTTTTTATTTTTATATATTTATTTTTCAAGCACATGTGGTCTCGGAGTAACAAAATATTATAGTATTTCAAAAGAATCTAGTACCATCTTCGAATCTCTAAATACAATTCGTTTGGTCAACATATTTTTTATGTTTGGAACTCGACTAAAAGCTAATCTTTTAATGGTAGATTATGCACAAGGATCTAGTATCCAAACATAACATACCTACAATAGTGCAGTATCATTTTTTTCTTTTGCTTTTCCATTTGGAGTAACAAATGTTTGTGTGTCTTACAACCAAAAGTATGGCACCGTGCATGGGCATCGCAAAGTCGCTTGTCATTCCTTATGAATGATGATGCATATGTATCGTTAAGTTACATAATAAATATGATGAGGTCCCCACTTCCAACTAGATTCTTAACAAGACATGCGATATAAATACTCGACGAGCTAAGTGGACAAGAGAAAACACACTACTTTCCATCCATTACTCTAAACATTGGTTACTAACTTTCCTATTTCATATATCCACTATTAAAGATTAGCGATTTTTAACCATGCCAGGAAAAGGAAATGCAGTTCTAAAAGGAGACTGCAAGGGTAAATGCCACCCGTCAACCATTAACGATAGTTTTGTGGAGACAAGGACACATCATTTCATGGTTAATGGAAAGCCGTTGTATTTTAATGGCTTTAACGCCTACTGGTTAATGTGTATGGCTTCTGATCCATCTACAAGGGTGAAGGTCACAGACGCATTTCAAGAATCTTCCAAGATAGGAATGAACCTGGTTAGGACTTGGGCTTTTAGTGATGGTGGCAACAAACCCCTGCAAACCTCTCCCGGTTTTTACAATGAGGACATGTTTAAGGTAACTTTATCTATTATTTTAGTCTCTGTTTTTTATTCAACATGATCTGTAAACATTAAAAGGTAATTTCTTATCGACCATACGACAAATCGACACGGACATATTGAAATAAAAGTTAGTAATAACCAAGATCACAAACACTTAACACCTCTGTTTTATGTTACTTGTGATAACCATCTACACCTTTTCATTCCAGGGATTGGATTTTGTGATATCAGAAGCGAAAAAGTATGGGATTCACTTGATTCTCAGCTTGGTTAATAACTGGGATGATTTTGGAGGTAAAAAACAATATGTTCAGTGGGCAAGGGATCATGGAGGACAATACTTGAATAGTGATGATGAGTTCTTTACCAACGTTGTAGTTAAAGGATATTATAAGAATCATTTGAAGGTATATATATGTTTGGGAAACAATGTTTCCATTATATCACAAAAATTTTCTACAACAGCTGTATTTGCATTTTGTTAGAAAATTTGAACATGTTGCAAATACTGTTTTGCTACAGACCATTCTTACGAGACGCAACTCAATCACCGGGGTTGACTACAAGGATGATTCCACCATCTTTGCATGGGAGCTAATGAACGAACCCCGCTGCCAGTCTGATCTATCAGGGAAATTTCTACAGGTTCTTGTTTTCTCTGTTTTCTCACGGTTAAGTTGTTCATATGAGAAAATGCCCGAATCAATTATCCAGAAAGAAGGAAATCTTTTACTTTCAAATGATAGGAGTACATAGAGGAAACTGGTTTTTTATGAAACTATATGGTGCATAACCTATAACCATCGGTATCTCTTCTTTGTGCAGGAATGGATAGTAGAAATGGCAGCCGAAATAAAGTCCACTGATAAGAACCATCTTCTCGAAATCGGACTTGAAGGGTTTTATGGGGAATCAATGCCTGAAAAGAAGCAAAACCAATCCGGGCTATGAAGTAGGGACCGACTTCATTACAAACAACGGCGTCAACAATGTGGATTTTGCTACAATCCATCTGTATCCCGACCAATGGTATGATCGAGTCTATACCGACATATAAACTCCATCACAATGCTTTTGTTCGTATATATACTTTGCATGTCACGCTAGCCAACACCCGAACGTAGTTAGCATCCTAAAAATGTTTCATGAAATGCATGTTTCTTATTTATAACTAAAACAATCTTTTATGTTATTTAATTTTATTGAATAACATATGTGGATATTTCGATATTTGACTTAGGGTTCCGGGAGCTAGCGATGAAGCTCGAGCTAAATTTGTTGAAAAATGGATTAATGCACATATTGAGGATTGTGATTCCATCTTGAGAAAACCTTTACTGATTGCAGAATTTGGCAAGTCCTCTTGGTCTTCAGGTTACACCGTAGAAGCAAGGGATGAGTACTTTGGTGGGATATTCAACACGGCCTATGAAAGTGCAAGAAACCGGGGTTCGTGTTCAGGTACAACTTTTTGGCAAGTCATGGCAGAAGGAATGGATAACTGGGGTGACGGGTACCAAGTTGTCTTGGACCAAAACCCCTCCACTGCTGCAATAATTGCCAAACAGTCTCAAAGAATTTCATCACTCTGCTCTTCAACCAACCTAGAGTTCTCTCCCGTTGCTGTTGAAAAATAATTATGTTGGGCTCCTGAACAAATAATTATCCCTTTCGAGATAAAATGATATTTCTATCGGCCGCGTTACTTACCTTTAGAAAATGTGAAGTTTAAATAGTGAAATGAAAATAAAGATAGAGGTAGCAACCATTTTGCATGAAACAAAATAGTTGCAGCCTATTAATAATGTTGTACCGCGGGTAACTTCAACTCAGTATTGTTGGACGAAGTGGGAAAATTGATGCATTTCATTTTTATCAATAAATATGGTAAAATATGTAAGGTATTTTTATGTGTTTTCTTAGCTTTTGTCTATCTTTTCTTAATGTTATAAATACTTTGTTTATCAAACACACAGTCACGTCAACATATGTGAATCCTTTTATATGTATTCAAACCACTTTTTGATCGCAAATCATCGACGAGAGGAATATTAATATTAGTTGATAAGGGATATAAGTCATGATATATCATTAAATATCAAGATTTTTTACCTAAATTTTGTATTACACTTGTGCCTTTGGGAGTGGTGATACTTAAATGAACAAATACTTTCCCGAGTTTTATACTGAAAAGTCTCATTATTTTGGAATTTTTTTTGATAAATTCATAAATCTTTTTTTTAGCAAAAAAGTCTCGTTATTTTCGGAAAATCACATAATCTATCTTTTCCAATTATAAAAAACTTTTTTCTTAATTTGGGCAAAATGTTAAACAATCAGGTTTATTCTATTCAAAAAAAAGATTTAGGACTTTATCAAAAAAAATCTCAAAATAATTAGACTTTTCTGCATGAAACGCATACTTATCCTATCAATATTGCTTGACAAAGGATATAAGTCATGATATACCAATGAATATTATGCCTTTAGATCTTGATTTTGAATTAAAATTATGTTTGTGAGAGTTGTGATAATTAAACAAAGCATTACTTAATACTGACCGAAATGTGTGTGTATGTGTCTGTGTGTGAGAGAGCCAGGTGCGAATGTACAAAAGCTATTGGATCACTTTTTCCAAGTGATGTTAACACAGAAAAAAAAACATCTTGTTAATATGCCACTAAACCTATTTCAATATAATTTCTAGAATACTAATTCATGTTTAAAAAATATTACCTAAGTTTTAACAAACAAAAGAAGATCAATTCAAAACTATTTAAGTTATTTTTGACATCAAACTCCTAATAAAGAAGATAAATGATTTGGTGAAGAAAATATAGTCTTAAGGAGTAATTAACACATATATTGGTGTCTTGGCGCAAATGTTAATTTTTGGTAATCTAAAATGCAATTTTTTTAAACAAATACATAAATCATTATTAATACACATATATTAGGGTCTTGGCACAAATGTTACTTTTATTGTAATCTGTAGTATGAATATTTATGTCACCAAACTCAGAATTATGATGATGATTTTTCATGAAACCTTTCCAATTATGAGGTTGTTATCTTATATAATAAGTAAAATCATTGATTAATACAACTGGGGCTCGTAGAAGAACTAAACTCATTATTTCTCATTTGTCTACAAGATTATATTATAGGGAACTCAAATTAATTGGAGTTCAAAAATTCCTACTTTATTTTCGGTCGCAAGGTTATATCAACAACTATAAACTTAAGGTTTCGTGGTACCTTTGAAATATACTTTATCAATATTGGGATTAAATTTTGGTGCATTGTTAACCTTAGGCCCGCAAACGACTGTAAACTTATGTTTTAGTCATACCATTGAAATATACTTTATCAATATTGGGTAGACATTTTGGTGCAATGTTTATCTTAGGCATGCATTCTTAAACCTAACAATTGTATGTTTATTTTTATATTTATAATTTTCATAATTTTCTTTATAAATAAGATTAATATCAATTAAATTAATAAATATAAGGTGAGGGTCATTTTTATAAACATCTAGCATTTATCACCAAAGATTTATAATATAGATAATGTGTACAAGTGTAGTCTGAATAAACTTTAATTAATGAGTAATCATACACTACTTAGTATCGATGCACGAACACATAAAAAATGATAAGGGAGTGTTTCCTCACTAGTCTTCTAAAAGTATTGGTTTAAGATCTATCGAATTTCCTTCTAAGCAGTTACATTGCCTATTATGATAGGTTTTGGAACCCCAAACATCCGTTGTTTTATTATCATAGGGAACACCTCGTACACAAGCAAAGCGAGTTATGTTTAGATTACAATACATCCACTTGCTACATGCCATGCTACTCAACCACTTGTTATTACATTAACTACATAAAAACAAAACATGATATCATCAATATAAATTCAAATGCAAAAGTGATGTGTGCAACATACATAACATCTACTTTGATACAAATTCCATTTGGAGAACACACGTGATAAAAACAATCAACAGGAAAATGGAACATAAAATTTAATATATATTTGCTATATGACGTTGAAAAGAAGTCAAATAAAGAAACAAAATGTCCCATGAATGGTGATGTGTAAACGTAAGAAAGTCACATGCTAGATTTCAACGTATGAAAAAAGGAACCCGAAAAAACAACAAAATGGTTTGGAGGAGTGGGGAAATAAATAGATAAATAAATCAAATTGTACCTAGTTTTTCATGCACAAGCAATGACTTGTGCGTTTATTTTGGGCTTTTTGTTTTTTATTTTTATATATTTATTTTTCAAGCACATGTGGTCTCGGAGTAACAAAATATTATAGTATTTCAAAAGAATCTAGTACCATCTTCGAATCTCTAAATACAATTCGTTTGGTCAACATATTTTTTATGTTTGGAACTCGACTAAAAGCTAATCTTTTAATGGTAGATTATGCACAAGGATCTAGTATCCAAACATAACATACCTACAATAGTGCAGTATCATTTTTTTCTTTTGCTTTTCCATTTGGAGTAACAAATGTTTGTGTGTCTTACAACCAAAAGTATGGCACCGTGCATGGGCATCGCAAAGTCGCTTGTCATTCCTTATGAATGATGATGCATATGTATCGTTAAGTTACATAATAAATATGATGAGGTCCCCACTTCCAACTAGATTCTTAACAAGACATGCGATATAAATACTCGACGAGCTAAGTGGACAAGAGAAAACACACTACTTTCCATCCATTACTCTAAACATTGGTTACTAACTTTCCTATTTCATATATCCACTATTAAAGATTAGCGATTTTTAACCATGCCAGGAAAAGGAAATGCAGTTCTAAAAGGAGACTGCAAGGGTAAATGCCACCCGTCAACCATTAACGATAGTTTTGTGGAGACAAGGACACATCATTTCATGGTTAATGGAAAGCCGTTGTATTTTAATGGCTTTAACGCCTACTGGTTAATGTGTATGGCTTCTGATCCATCTACAAGGGTGAAGGTCACAGACGCATTTCAAGAATCTTCCAAGATAGGAATGAACCTGGTTAGGACTTGGGCTTTTAGTGATGGTGGCAACAAACCCCTGCAAACCTCTCCCGGTTTTTACAATGAGGACATGTTTAAGGTAACTTTATCTATTATTTTAGTCTCTGTTTTTTATTCAACATGATCTGTAAACATTAAAAGGTAATTTCTTATCGACCATACGACAAATCGACACGGACATATTGAAATAAAAGTTAGTAATAACCAAGATCACAAACACTTAACACCTCTGTTTTATGTTACTTGTGATAACCATCTACACCTTTTCATTCCAGGGATTGGATTTTGTGATATCAGAAGCGAAAAAGTATGGGATTCACTTGATTCTCAGCTTGGTTAATAACTGGGATGATTTTGGAGGTAAAAAACAATATGTTCAGTGGGCAAGGGATCATGGAGGACAATACTTGAATAGTGATGATGAGTTCTTTACCAACGTTGTAGTTAAAGGATATTATAAGAATCATTTGAAGGTATATATATGTTTGGGAAACAATGTTTCCATTATATCACAAAAATTTTCTACAACAGCTGTATTTGCATTTTGTTAGAAAATTTGAACATGTTGCAAATACTGTTTTGCTACAGACCATTCTTACGAGACGCAACTCAATCACCGGGGTTGACTACAAGGATGATTCCACCATCTTTGCATGGGAGCTAATGAACGAACCCCGCTGCCAGTCTGATCTATCAGGGAAATTTCTACAGGTTCTTGTTTTCTCTGTTTTCTCACGGTTAAGTTGTTCATATGAGAAAATGCCCGAATCAATTATCCAGAAAGAAGGAAATCTTTTACTTTCAAATGATAGGAGTACATAGAGGAAACTGGTTTTTTATGAAACTATATGGTGCATAACCTATAACCATCGGTATCTCTTCTTTGTGCAGGAATGGATAGTAGAAATGGCAGCCGAAATAAAGTCCACTGATAAGAACCATCTTCTCGAAATCGGACTTGAAGGGTTTTATGGGGAATCAATGCCTGAAAAGAAGCAAAACAATCCGGGCTATGAAGTAGGGACCGACTTCATTACAAACAACGGCGTCAACAATGTGGATTTTGCTACAATCCATCTGTATCCCGACCAATGGTATGATCGAGTCTATACCGACATATAAACTCCATCACAATGCTTTTGTTCGTATATATACTTTGCATGTCACGCTAGCCAACACCCGAACGTAGTTAGCATCCTAAAAATGTTTCATGAAATGCATGTTTCTTATTTATAACTAAAACAATCTTTTATGTTATTTAATTTTATTGAATAACATATGTGGATATTTCGATATTTGACTTAGGGTTCCGGGAGCTAGCGATGAAGCTCGAGCTAAATTTGTTGAAAAATGGATTAATGCACATATTGAGGATTGTGATTCCATCTTGAGAAAACCTTTACTGATTGCAGAATTTGGCAAGTCCTCTTGGTCTTCAGGTTACACCGTAGAAGCAAGGGATGAGTACTTTGGTGGGATATTCAACACGGCCTATGAAAGTGCAAGAAACCGGGTTCGTGTTCAGGTACAACTTTTTGGCAAGTCATGGCAGAAGGAATGGATAACTGGGGTGACGGGTACCAAGTTGTC